AATTATTTAAATAAATAAATAGTAAAAAATATTACAGGAATTAGTGAGCAATTGCAAAGTCAAGATCCAGGAACTTGTATTTTTAAATGAAACGTGACCCTTTCAAAGACTAATTGATTAGTAATATTGGAACTGTTATTGCTATTATACAAGTATCTTTTGGTTCTCATTTTCTAGAACTGCCTTCCACATTTGTGGTACTTTTTTTTTAGAATAGTCTTACTGGTATATGCTTCTCTTGACGGTGGATTAATTTCTGAAATGAGTCAGAAGTCATAAAAATCTAAATTAGAGAAAAAAGTGGCTGATCAAGTTGGCTAGAAGCACTTTTGGTTTGTACAAGTTGTGATTAATGAGACAGCTTCTATTGTTTAGGCTATAGATAGACTCTAAAGGCAACTTAAAACCAGTGCTGAGGCGGAAGTTAGAGGGAGGAAGGCAGAGGGGCAGACTCTGGCTACTGGGAAACGGCTGTGTGTGTGTTTCTACATTAAATGGAGGTCATATAGTGGTTCTGGGCAAGATGGCACTAAAATCTCCAATGGACCTGTTACTTGGGAGAGCAAGGATCAGTGGAAGAGGAAATGGAAACCAGATCTTATAAAAAAGGAATTCTAAAATAGATCGCAACGTGAAACAGTACTATAAAAGCATTCTTATTATGTGCTTTTAAAAAAGACAGGAGTTGGAAAGATGGCTTAGTGGCTAAGAACACTGATTGCTCTTGCAGAGGACCCAGGTTCGATTCCCAGCACCCACATGGCAGCTAACAAACATCCTAACTCCAGTTTCAGGGGATCTTATGCCATCTTCTGACCTCTGTGGATACTGCACAATACAGGTACACTTACATACATGCAGGCAATATACTCATACACATAAAATAAAAATAATAAATAAAATATTAAAAAAAGACAAAGTCAGAATAAAATCTTGGGCATTGAGCATATTGAGATTCTCGAGCATCTTTTAGTTGAAGGACTTAAAAACTCTATTGACAGCAACAACAAAAAGTAAAAACTAGAAATATTTTGATAACTAAGCACTACAAAAATAATTATCAAATGTAGGCTTTGGAAAGATTCCCATTTAGGGAAAATGTAACATAGAAAAATGCTTCTTCCTTTTTTTGTCTTTTTGAGACAGGATTTCCTTGTAACCCCAGCTAGCCTGGAACTCACTATGTAGACCAGGCTAGCCTTGAACTCACAGAGATCTGCCTGCGTCTGCCTCCTGAGTGCTGGGATTAAAGGCTGGTATGCCACTGCATCCAGAAAGAAAAACACTTAAGGAATGCTTTGGTTATAAAATTTTCATTTTAGAAATATATTTTATAACAAAGCATGAAAAGGCAGGAACCAACTAGATAGGGCCATTTCTCCATGCCTGCTATGAAACTACTCTCAATATAATATGACACGGGGAGGTGGTATTCCGTGTACACTTGACCTTTGTACAACAGCCATAAAGACTCTCTATTACAAAAAAGAAGGCTGAATCACTTCACTCTCTTACTTAACCATCTACATCCCACCCGTTGCAGACCACTGTTCTTCAGAATACAATAGTCTTTGAATGACCCTGCCTGATTTTGATTCTTAGTATTTGCCACTTGGCATTCTACTTAAAATGGTTTATTGACTGACTGTCTTCCCAGTGTAGAACATAATCTTCTTGGAATAGTCCCAATGTTACAGGGCAGCATCTGGCATTTAGTAGATATTTAATAAAGTTTTGGTAAATGACTTAATTAATTACAAAATTGCTCCTTACACTTGTATAATAAGTGAAGATTCTAAATAACTTCTGTATATAGGTTCCTACATAGATCCATACACTGAATTTTACAATGTAGCACCAGGTGAGAGGTCAGAACTTGAATTACAATAATAGTAATAAGGGTTGGGTTTCTTAACCAGTGTATGTATTTCTAGCTGTTTCAAACTTCCAAAACCAGACAAATTCCCAGCATAGACATGAGGAAGTAGGTAAGAAATCCCAACCCAACCTAAGGAACTTTTGGTAATTGATGACTTCTGGGAGGGAGACAGTGTCTTATAGGGATGGGGCTCTTGGTGGGTCCAGGGGGTGGGCCTACACTGAAGGACATTTGGGGACACGCATCAGACTTTATAGGACATGATATATGAAATACATTAAATTGGGCAGGGGGCATTGGAGAAAGGTGTGGTTGGGGGAGGGGATCCAAATACCATCAAACTATATTTTTTTTGGTTTATTATTTTTATTTTATGTGTATTCGTGTAATGCCTGCATGTAGGTAAGGGCACCCATGTCGTGCAATGCCCGTGGAGGTCAGAAGAGGCTGTCAGATCCCCTGGGACTGGAGTTACAGACAGTTGTTAGCTGCCATGTAGGTGGTGGGATTCGAACCTAGGTCTTCTGCAAGAACAACCAGTGTTCTTAACTGCTGAGCCATCTCTCCAGCCCCTCAAAGTATATTTTATGAAAATTGAAAAAAATTCAATAATAAAATAAACTTCCAAAACCCAGAAAATGTTTATGTTAAAAGTATTTGAGCCCATTTAGCTACATGTAAAGTGGTAAAATTTCCAATAAATACTCTGTCATATATTTGAGAGTCATTGTAGCAGTACTATGTTTTGCTTTTTTAAAAATTCTATTTATTATTTTTATTTTATGTGTATGAGTATATTGCCTGAATGTATGCAAGTGCACTCATGCTGTGCAGTGCCCACAGAGGTCAGAAGAGGATGTTGGGTCCCTGGAACTGGAGTTAGATGGTTGTTAGCCACCATGTGGGTGCTGTGAACTGAACACAGGTCCTCTGTAAGAGCATCCAGTGCTTTAACTGCTGAGCCATCTCTCCAGCCCCTGTTTTGCTTTTAAGAACATAAATCAGGACATGGTTTCATATTTTGAAACACTAAAGAATTAAATCCATTATAGACTTTAAATGAGACTAATTTTCAGCATGTCACCCCAAACACTAGGATTTCTGTTCACTATTCATAAAGAACTTTTGCCTTAAATAGAATAGATAATGTGATTATCCCTATGCCATCAACCACAGTAGTACAAAGGCATAGGCAGGGATAAGCCAGTGCTAGCCAAGTAAGCATTACGCTGGAAAGCTGATGGTGCGCTTCTCTGTGTTGTCTGCCCGCCCTTCCTTTTCCTGGACATTGGTGGCAGCTGTTTGCTCTCTCTGTTCCTGTCATATATTTACCCTTGACATTGGCCCTGACTTCCCCTCCCCCATTCCCTCTCTCCCTGAGAGTCTTAGACACAAGCAGAATGGGAGGAAGGTTTGGGGAAACTTAGAGGCTCTTTTGCTTCCTGAGCCCGGCCTGGGGAGGCTGAATGGTGGCTCTGTGCTGGCTGCGCATGACACCAGAGTTGGCATGCTGATATCAGTGGGGAAGGGACTTCATGACCTCTGAAGCTGCATGTTGGAAAGGAGACAGTAGAGTGCCACAGACACAAAAGGGAATGGGAATTTAAACCAGGAAATCTTTTTCTCCAGAGAGGAGCCACCTTAATCTGATACCCCGGGAAGGGGATCTAGCCCGCATCAGGAAACAGAGCTCGCCAATCCAGTTGCTGCAAAGTCCTGGCAGGTGACCCTTGGTTCCCACCCAGAAGTGTGCCACTTCTGAAATGAAGTAAGATGATGTAGAAAGCTCCCATTTCCCACAAGAGTCTTCTGGGCTTTGTCCTTATGAGGGGCAAGAAGGTGCCTAAGGGCCCATCATCAGTTGTTGGTCTCCGGTTGCCTCTGACCACACTCTCAACAGGATGTACCTTAAAAGTCAGAAGCAAGCTTTGCTGAACAGGATCAAGCATACATCCTGCCTGCTAGTGTCAATGCCCAGTACCTCTTGATCGATCCTTTTTCCTTAAAGTAAATAGTGTGTTTTGGTGGTTCACATTCCACTCATTACAGACAAATATGTCATTCAATATGTAGAAGACAATTAAGTGCCACACTGTGGTTAACCCAAAAGATAGCCAGAATATGGACTTGATAATGTCTTTCCATCTAAACTGTATGTAAGATATATAATGTCAATAGTTCTGTGCAATTTGTGAGTGTTCTTTCAAGTCAAGAAATATGCCTCTACATTAGTAGTTCTGAAAGTGTAGCCTCCGGATCAACAGCACCCCTAGGGAAATTGTTAGAAAAGCAAATTCTTGGCTCTTATCTCAGGTTAACCAAATCAAAAACTC